CAGGTGTTGTGGCGGGTGCCTGTAGTCCCAGCTACTGGGGAGGCTGAGGCAAGAGAATCGCCTAAGCCCAGGAGTTAGAGGTTGCTGTGAGCTGTCTAACACCATGGCACTCTACTGAGGATGATAAAGTGAGATTCTGTCTCTACCAAAAAAAAAAAGTGAATGACTGCATTTTCACAAAAATATCAAGATTTGGGGCCCAGCACAGTGGCTCATGCCTATAATCCTAGCACTCTGGGAGGCCAAGGCGGGTGGATTGTCTGAGCTCACAGTTTGAAGACTAGCCTGAGCAAGAGCAAGACTCCGCCTCTAAAAATAGCTGAGCATTGTGGCAGGCACCTGTAGTCCCAGCCACTTGGGAAGCTGAGGCAAGAGGATCACTGGACCCTAAGAGTTTGACGTTGCTGTGAGCTGGGACACCACAGCACTCTATCAAGGGCCAAAAAGTGAGACTCTATCTCCAAAGGAAAAAAAAAGTTCCACCAACAGAGACAACAAATATTTTCTGGGTTAAAAAACAAAAACAAAAAAACCCCTCAACATCAGAGTTCACTGGGTTGAAAATAATGAGGTAAAAAACATCCCTGTTGGGTGGTGCCTGTGGCTCAGTGGGTACTCAGTCGCCTGTCCCATATATCAAGGGTGGTGGGTTAGAACCCGGCCCCAGCCAAACTGCAGCAACAACAACAACAAAAAAATTCCTGTTCAGGGTTGACGCCTGTAGCTCAGCGCATACACCAGAGCTGGTAGGTTCCAAAACAGCCCGGGGCTGCCAAACAACAATGACAACTACAACAAAAAACAATAGCCAGGCATTGTGGCTGGGGCCTGTAGTCCCAGCTACTTGTGAGGCTGAGGCAAGAGAATTAATTGCCTAAGCCCAAGAGTTGGAGGCTGCTGTGAGCTGTGAGGCTACGGCACTCTACTGAGGGCAAAATAGTGAGACTCTGTCTCAAATAAATAAATAAATAAATAAAATAGAAGAAAGTCTATGAGAACCTCGTCCCAAACTTGAGATAGAAGAAGGGTCTGTTTTATAAACAGATCCCTAAAAGTAGTTAATCATTTAAAAAAATGATGGGATCAGTCTTTGGCCAAAGAGTGGTTAAAAGGTGGAAACAGGGCACCTATAGGCCCAGCTACTCGGGAGGCTGAGGCAAGAGAATCGCCTAAACCCAAGAGCTAGAGGTTGCTCTGAGCTGTGATGCTACAGCACTCTACCAAGGCTGACAAACTGAGACTCTGTCTCTAAAAAAAAAAAATAAATAAATAAAAATAAAAGGTGAAAACAAGCTGAACACCAGGTCAAACGTCCACCTGGAAACACTGGTGGAGTCAAACATGTTTAATTAATGCCCATAGGGTTGAAACATCCCTCAGGTACAGATCAAAACAGGCCACCAAGTCACCCCTGGGTGACCTGGGTGGGGGGCCCGCCATGCTCACCTGGAAGACCTCGGCACTGGTCCTCTCATGCTGCCGCCCCAGCTCCTCCAGCTGCCCCTCCAGCCGGGCCACGTCAGCCTGCAGAGCGCCCACTATACGCTCATGCTCTGAGAGTGCCACACTGCCTACACGCTCACGTTCCAGCTCTGCCCGAAGTCGGGCCGCCTCCTTGCCTGTGGCCACCACCTCCTGCTCCAGACTGGCTGCCCGGCCACGCAGTTCAAGGGCCTCCTCCTGCAGCCGGAGGTGCTCAGAGGCTGGCACGACAGACTGGCGGAGGGCCTCGGAAGCCTCGCGCAGCTCTGCCAGCCCCCTCCGGGCCTCCTCGCAGGCTGCGGCCAGCTCAGCGGCCCGGGCCTCAGCTGCATCCCGTTTGCGGCCCAGCTCAGCAGCTGCAGCCCGTTGTTGCTCCCCTGTGGCAGTGGCTGTGGCCAGCTGCTCCCGTAGTGCCGCCAGCTCCCGGCTCTGCTCCAGCCGCACCTCCTCCCGCCGAGCCAGCTCTGCCCGCAGGCCCCGGGCCTCCTCCTCGGCCAGCAGCCGGCCAGCCCGGGCCTCGTCGAGCCAGGCTGTGGCCGCCTCCAGTTCCCGTAGGCGAGCGTCCCGATCTCGGAGATCCTCCCGGGCCTGCTCCAGGGCCGCCCGCAGCTGGGACACATCGCTACCGCTGCCTCCGCTGGTCCCGCTGTTCTTGGCCTCACGCATCCACTCCCGCAGCCGGCCCGCCTCCGCCTCCGCAGCCTCGCACTTTCCACGGGCTGCCTCCAGCTCCGTGGCCGCCTCCCGCTCCCGCTGCCGGAGCGCCTCCTCCAAGCCACGAATCCTGGTCTCCAGCTCTGCTTGCAGCTTTTCCGAGGCCTCAGCAGCACCAGGGTGAAGGACAGGGCTAGCAGAAACTCCCTGGGCTGTGGCCTCTACCCCCATGTTCCCTGCATCTGTGGCTTCTACTCCCAGGACATCCGCATCTGTGGACCTAGAGTCTGCGGCCTCCATGTTTGTGGTCTCTGTAGGTGTGAGCTCTGCCTCCCCAGGACCCTCTCCATTGGTCTGCATGTCTGGCTTTTCTGCTTTTGTATTTGTGGCCTCCACTCCAGTGGCCTCAGCTCCCATGGTCTTAGTTTCAGTGTTTTCTTCCCCTTCTGTAGCCTTCATTTCTATGACCTCAGTCCCATTGGATTTTGTTTCTGTGGCCTTGATTCCCACAGATGCAGCTTCCAAAGTCCTGACTTTTGTGATTTCAACTCCTGCAGTCTCCTCATCTGTCTCCTCAGTTCCATTAACTTTGGTTTCCAGAGTTGCAAAGCCATTTAGCTCCAAGTCTGTTGGCCCGTTTTTGGTGGTAGTGGTTCCTATACTCTTGCCCTCCCCACAGGCTGCCTCTTCTTCCCCAAAGACCTCTCGTGCCTCCAGTTGCCTCAGCGCCTGCAGGGCCTCCGCATGCTGCTTGCGCAGCTGGTCAAACTCAGCCCGGAGAGAGTCATACAGGGCTAGAGGGATGACCTCAGCAGAGCCATTCAACTCCATCTGCATCTCGTCTTTCTCAAAGTTCTCCAAGATCTAGGCAGGGGAGGCAGTCGGGATGAGTTTGAAGTGGACATAGGGGCACAAGGCAGCCTCCCCACCTTTCCTGCCCACCCCAATCCTCAGCTCCTCAGATCTGTCCCCTGGCCTGTCCCACCTGAACCTTCTCCATGAGTTCCTGGTTCTGTCTGGTGAGAGCAGCCACCTGCTCTTGCAGGGAGGCCAAGCACTCCTGGGCTGATTGGCTTAGCCGCCTGGACAGCAGCATCTCGGCCCCTGGAGGGGAACATAGAGTCAGGACCCAGGGTCCCAGCCCCAGCAGACACAGGAGCTGGGGTCAACAGTGGTGGATCAGGGCACCCAGGAAAGGCTCCGGCAAATGGGATAAAAAAACAGCTGAGCGCAAATTCCCTCCCAGCTTTAAATTCTCCCACACCTGTAGGTCAAATCTCTGTCTCCTAGGGCCCTGGGGACAAGGTGTGTGGGGGTGTAGGTGGGTGTGGACGGGAATGGCAGCTCACCTGGGAAGTAAGGCACCTCACCCTCCTCATCTTGCAGTGTGGACACATCATAGCTGGTGTTCTCCCGTTCATTCTAAGGGTGAGCAGCAGAGTCTGACTTGGGGTCCTGCTCCCCTTCCCTGTATGTCCCCCACTCAAGACTCCAGAGTGGTCTGAGCTGTTCCTAAGTATCAGACTAGCTGTGTTTGGCCTACATGTATTTGCTGAGTGCCTACTATGTCTTCCACCCACTTTTAACAGGGTTATTTGGTTTTTTGGCTATCGATTTGCAGGACTTGTTTTTCATATATTTTGGATGTTAAACCTGTATCAGATATATGGCATTTTCCTGCATCCCCCAATTTCCTGGTATATCTGGAGTGAGCATTTCTCCAGGGGAGGGGAGCCTGGTGCAGGGTGTGGTTATGTGTGCTTGTCTGTGCAAGAGTGGGTGCCCACACTATCCATCCACTCCACACGCAGATGGCTTGGTGCAGGTATAGTTGTGATTATAGGTGTGCATGTTGTTTTGTGGGTGTGTGCCGTAGTCTCTCTTTTCCTGTGTTTGTGTTCTTGTGGTTATGTGTAATTACATGCTTGTGTTTTGTTTTATTTTATTGCCCAGGCTGGTCTCAAACTCCTGGCCTCAATCCTCCTGTCTTGGCCTCCCAAAGTGCTGGGGTTATAGGCATGAGTCACAGTGCCAGGCCATACTTATGTTTTAGTCTGTTGTTGTGTGTATAGATTGTTTTGAATGTGTCCATGCTTATGTGTGTGTATGAATATGGTTGTAAGTATATGTTTATGTAATTATGTGTTTCGAGATGCTCTGTGTGCATGTACATATAGGCATGTTGTCTGTGGGTGTGATTGCATGAGAAAGGTTTGTCTGGCATACGTGTGCACACAAAGGTATGATGTATGCGTGTGTGAGATGATGTGTTCACAGATATGCTTCTTATGCACTTGTAAACTGTTCCTTTGTGAGTGTGCTCACTGTTGTTTGTGTACAACCTTGTGTGGAGCATGGTTGCCCATCTCTGCACATAAATGTGTTTGGAGAAGTGTCCAGTATATGTGTGTATATTTGTGAATTTGCCTCTCAGTGTGATTGCGGGTTCGTGTGTCTATTGTGCACACATGCATACATGTGACACTGTGTACTGGGGTGGTTATCATGCCACTGCAGCAGAAGTTCCTCTCTCTTCACCCTCTGCCTGGCCTCTGCTCCTACCTCCAGGAGGGATAGCCGGCTCTGCAAACTTTCCACCTCACGACCCAGGCTCTCTTTCTCCTCTTGTTTCTCTGCCAGCAGCTGCTGCAGCTCTTGCACCTGGGATCAGGCAGTGGCAGCTCAGCCAGCTCCCAAGGGACATGCTGGACACATGGAGGCTGGCCCTGACCCCGCTTTCTGCCTACCTGCCTCTCCAGGCTGTGCAGGGAGCTGGCTTCCCCCTCTGGTGGCTGAAGGGGAGAAGAGGGGACAAAAGTTCAGACCTGGACAAGGGCCCCTTGTCCTACTACCTGCTTTGCAGTCTCCATTCAACCCCCAGATGTCCCTACTGCCCACTCACCACTCACTCATGCCACATGGATTTATTGAGCACCACTGTGTGCTAGACATGATTCTGCTTGCCCACCATTACTAAGTATTAACTGAGTGTCTACTGTGTACCAAGCATCATTCTGCCTGCTCACTCCTTACCGAGTACTTACTGAGTGCCTTCTGTGTGCTATACACCATTCTGTTCACTCATTCACACAATAAGGTTTTTTTTTGGTTTTGTTTTTTTGTCTTTTTTTGAGATAGAGTCTCACTATGTCACCCTCAGTAGAGTTGCCATGGTGTCATAGCACACAGCAACCTCAAACTCTTGGGCTTGAGCAATCTCTTGCCTCAGCCTCCCAAGTAGCTGGGCCTATAGGTGCTCAACACAATGATTGGCTAGTTTTTCTATTTTTAGTAAAGACAGGGTCTCACTCTTCCTCAGGTTGGTTGTTTTGTTTTAACAAAAACAGAGTCTTATCCTGTCGCCCAGTCTGGAGTGCAGTTCACTACAGCTTCAAACTCTTGGGTACAAGTGATCCTCCTGCCTCAGCTTCCCAAGTAGCTATAACTATAGGTACCTGCCACTGTACCTGAACTCATTCAAGTTTTTTTTTTTTGAGATGGAGCCTCAAGCTATCCCCCTGGGTAGAGTGCCATGGCATCACGCTCACAGCAACCTCCAACTCCTGGGCTCAAGCGAGTCTCCTGCCTCAGCCTCCCAAGTAGCTGGGACTACAGGCGCCCGCCACAACACCTGGTCATTTTTTTGGTTGCAGCCATCATTGTTGCTTGGCGGGCCCGGGCTGGGGATATGAACCCGCCATCTTAGGTGTATGTGACTGACGCCTTAGCCGCTTGAGCCACAGGTGCCGAGCCTCAAGTTTTTACCAAATGTCAACTTTGGGGCAGACCGTTTTTTGGCCACTAATTCATTCATTCACTCACTCACTTGAATATTCCTTCATCCAATACATATTTATCAAGCATCTAATGTGAGCCAGGCACGGACAACCATGCCTGTCCTCACAGGCTTATATGAATGGGCAGATATGAATAAAATATATGCACATGCAATAGCAGTGCACTGAAAATGGAAATAAAGAGAACTAGGGAGTGGGTATATAATTATAATTTGAAATGAAGTAGATGGGGGGGCTGGTCTTTGACAAGGGGCCTATTGTTTAAAGTAGGTGAGAGAGGGATGCATTGGGACATCTGAGGAAAGAGCAAAGAACACAGCCCATGCAAAGGCTCTGGGGCAGGTTGGCCATGTGGTTGGCCATGTTGGAGGCCAAGCAGGGAGGCCCATGTGTCTGGAGCAGAGTGAGGAGGGAGAGCAGGAAGGTTGTTGGAAAGGTAGGGGAAGACTTTGCCCCACCCATGCCTGGGGCTAAGCCTCTAACCTCTTGCTTCCTTCGTTCCTTGTGCTGTTCCAGGCCCCGGATCTTCTGTAGGAGGCGGCCCCTCTCCTGCCGCAGCCTCACAATCTCTTCATAGGCATCTCGATCATCCTGTTCCCCTCCCCACCCACCACCTTTAGAAGAGGCCCAGAGGTACCCCATTCTGTGTCTGAGCCAGCACTCCTATTCCCCTACCTGAGGGCTTCTCATTCCACCACCACCCCCAGGCCAGGGCATCTCACCGGCATAGGGATGCTGGCAGGAGGTTGGGGCGCCTTCCGCTTCTTGGGAGCCCCTCGCTTTTCATGGCTAGACACAGAGTTCTGGGGGTGGGGAGTGGGGACAGAGTGAAGGGAGCCCATGGAAGCCACACCAGCTTCCCACCCACCCAAATAAACCAATCCAGCTAGCTCCCCTGACTTCCTGTGAAGCCTGAGTGAGTCCCTGCCTTCTGGTCCTTCATCCCTGAGAGTTCCAGATCTTATGCTTATCTTATGCTTTACTCTCTGCCTCCTTTTTTGCCTCAGTACTTTCCCCAATTAAACAAGATCACTCATAAGTTTTATTTTTCCGTCCCTGTGGAGCTGAGATGCTATAGAACTGGGAGAGGGGAAGAGACAAGACCAGTTCCTTCCCTGACAGCCCCATCCCCATGATTTGGCCCCTCCACTCTCACCCTCCGGTGTTCCCACCCATTCTGGGAGTTATGTTGTACACGATGATGCCACTAGCATATCCTGGAGATAGCAGCCTTTCCAAACAGATTTTCCCAGGTATAACTCTGGGAAAGGAATCCACCTCATCCTTCTCTTCTCACAGAGCTTAGGGAAAGGGGGAAGTTGTTGTGTGTGGGGTGGACTCACTCACTGCATAAGGATCCATACCTGAGATGATGCTTCGCCAGAGTCATCCTCTAGGAGGGCAGGGAACAGAGGGAAGCAGTCAGGTACTCTATTCCCAGCCCTAGGAAGGGCAGTGTGGGCCCAGGGGACATGCAGGGGGCTCCCAATTCCTTAAGAAACAAGACTTTCAAAGTATAAATCCACTACTTGGGCAGAATCTTGAAAGGAGGGACTTTGATTGAAACTCTCAAAGATGCTGGGTGCAGTGCTATAATCCTAGCACTCTGGAAGACTGAGGCAGGAGGATCACTTGAGCTGAGGAGTTCAAAACCAGCCTGAGTAAGAGTGAGACTCAGTCTCTACTAAAAATAGAAAATTTAGTCAAGCATGTGTGCCTGTAGTCCCAGTCACTCAGGAGGCTGAGGCAAGAGGATCATTTAAACCCGAGAGTTTGAAGTTGCTATGAACCAGGCTGATGCCATGGCATTCTAGCCTGGGCAACAAAGAGAGAACACAAAAGCATCTCAGTGACATGGTCAGTGGGGCTGCCAATTCTTAGGAGAGCCAAAGGAGACCCAAGAAAGCAGAGCAGACCACCCGACTGCTCCGAGTAGGATCAGTGAGCCCTGGAACCTTCTAGAATGCAGCAAATAGTGGGTACCTTGAAACTATTCACACTAGGGAAAGAAGGAGTTGACAAAAAACCGCCTAGGAGAAGATGGAGGTGGAGGGTGGGGTGTGCACATACCACTGGGTGCGGAGGGGCGCTGAGCTGCCTCCTGCAGGAGATGTAGGATGAGTTTGTCCCCTGCCAGGGCACCATAGTGTGCTGCATCCTGCCCCAGTGTGTCAGTGATGCCTGGCTGGGCCCCACCCTGAAGCAGCACCTCTACGGTTTCAGGGCTAGCCCCTTCACAGGCCAGCATCAGGGCCGTCCTATGAGGGAAGAGGGCTACTGAGAAGGTGAGAACATCCCCCAAAACCCAGGTCCTTCTCAACACCCAGGCCAGGTTGGGGAGAGAAGACCAACTAGATTCCACCCACACACACTCAGAGAGATAAGAAACTTGCCCAAGGTCATACAGTACCTGATGGACCAACTGGGAGGGGAGATGCATACCTGCCCTGCAGGTCCTGGTCATTTGCAGAAGCCCCCTGCTGTAGGAGGAGGCGGCACAGATCTGTGTGACACATCTGAGCTGCTATTATGAGGGGTGTTGAACCTGACTGGTAGGGAGGTGGAGAAATGAGATGGCATGAGAAGCTGACCCTGTGTCCCAAACTTTCTTACCCTTGCAAAAGGATACTTGGGGGGCTGCCACTTGGTGGCAGTGTACCTCAAATGTGGTATCTTTCCCAAAAGGATCCTATAAGCTCACCCGATCTCGGGGGTTCAGATGTGCCTTGAAAGAGCAGAGCATCTCTGAGCAGGAGAGACAGCCACCAGCCACTGGAAAAGAAAAAAGGAGGAAGAATGGAGGTAGTGATGATCTGCTGTGGTTCCCTCTTAAAGTGAAAGTTTTCACTGATTTTCATGTATTTCATCTTTTTCATTCAACCAGCATTTGTAGTGTACCTAATGTGTGTCAATCCCTCATCAGCAAGTGTTAATGTTTACCAAAGGAATCGGACTTCAGCTGGGGTTGGGCAGGTTTCTTGGGGTTTGATCTCAGTTCTGAGTTCTGAAGGTAACAGGGGCTGGCAAGAGTATACCAAGTACAGGTTACTTCCTGGACAAAGGGACAGAAGTGGGGAAGAGCTTGGTGAAGTTAAGGAAGTGGAAGGAGAGCCTCAAAGAACCTCAAAGAAGGAAGAAGGACTTCATGTGAGCAGTCACTGGAGGTCATCAAGCACAAGACCTTTGGATTCTTACACAAAGGTGACAGAGCCAAGAAAGAATTTTAAGCAGGTAAGTGGCATCATCTATTTGCATTTTAGGAGATCTCTCCCACTTTTGTGTGGACAGGGCTCCAGGGTGGATGCAAGGAAGCTACACAGGGGAGACAAGAGCCCAGCCTCTGGAATCCCTGTGTTTGAATTCTAGCATGTTAAGGCGCATTCTGATTAAATACAAGAATGCATTTTGCATATGGAGTTTTGTTTGCTGCTGCATCTACTACACTTAGAATGATGACTGACACATAGTAAGTACTCAGTAAGTATTCACTGAACAAAAAACCCCCAGAGCTGCCATAGTGTGACCAGAGGCCCTACTACCACTAGGTGGCAGTGTACTCCAACGGAAGAGAATTCAAACCCAATTTTACTGTGTGTTTCCCAAAGAACTGACGTTTCTTGAGGGGGAAGGAATTTGGGTTTGATGAGTATGAGGGTGCTGGATGCCTGAACCTTTGGCCTTCCTGAAAGCCCCTAAGAGTTCCTCAAAAAATTATACTCGGCTCGGCGCCTGTGGTTCAAGCAGCTAAGGCGCCAGCCACATAACCTGAGCTGGCGGGTTCAAATCCAGCCCAGGTCCACCAAACAACAATGACGGCACAACCAAAAAATAGCCGGTTGTGGCAGGCGCCTAGTCCCAGCTACTTGGAAGGTGGAGACAGGAGAATCGCTTGAGCCCAGGAGTTGGAGGTTGCTGTGAGCTGTGATGCCACAGCACTGTACCCAGGGTGACAGCTTGAGGCTCTGTCTCAAAAAAAAAAAAAAAAAACGGAAATTAAATTCTGGGGACCTTCCCTGCCCCCAGAAAGGCCTGGAGTTCAGATAGACTGTGGTTTGGAGTCAGATGACCTGGATACCCTAAAACTTACTTGCAGTGGACAAGTGACAGAGCCTCATGTAGCCCCATCTGTCCAATGGGCTAAGGGTCTAAGGCTCAATGGATGGGGCACAGGATGCGCCCCAGTACCTAGCACACAGTAGGTAATAAAAAGAGAAAGAAGCAAGGCTCACAGCAGGTCTCCAGGGCCTTGAGTAGAAGAGCCCCTAACCCCAGCATCCTCTGGACCATAGTGGGCAGGGCAGGACAGGGCTGCACCCACCTGCATGGTGCAAGGCAGTCCACCCACTGCTGTCCACAACATCCACCACACAGGAGGCCTGAGGAGGGGACAAGGTATTTGAGGCAGAGTTATCCCTCCTCCTAGCCTGATTTTTCTAGGACTACCTCATCTGCCCCTGGGCTCTGTTGCCTCTTTCCCACTCCCACCTGCCTGCCCTGTGGTGCCCTACTCTTCACAGATCCCCAAGTGACTCTGATTTCATGAGAATTGGTGAGAAAGAGGGAATAGTTGAGAGTTGGGAAGCAGCTGGGAGCTTACATAGTAGCTGGGAGCTCTGAGCTTCCTAAGGTTTGGGGAGAAAGGGAGCTCAGAAAGTATCCAGTACTTGAGAGTATGCATATATCTTAGGTGGGAGAAATATCTGGATGCTTGGAAAGTAAAAGGGGATTTGGAGTAAAAGGGAAGAAGGACTACTTGGATTCATGGAGCATCTAGGGTTTCAGGGAATTCCTGGAACTCAGGATTAGGAGCCAATGGAGTATCTGGGGCTCAGGGAGTATATGAGACAAGAAAGGAAATGACCTGCAGCAGTTGTTTCAAGCACTGTGGGTGCCCATACTTGGCAGCTAGATGGAGAGCATTGTAACCTGAAAGAGAGAAAAGATTTACTAGAGCCCCAAATACTCAAGGAACTCCCACCTGCTTCCCAAACTCATGTCAACTGTTTGTAATGAGTTTCTCTGTGTCTAGCAAGTCCCCAAACTCCAGGGTACTTCTCAAAGCCACACTACTTCCTGTGCCAGAGACCCTCCAAGACAATGCCATCTCAGCCATACTCCATACCCACCTACTCAACAGGTCCTATTTTTCAGCAATTCCTCCTGTCCTTAGCTATTCTCTATAGTCAACTATTCCAAAGCTCCAGCTCTGTCCCTCACAATGCACAGTTGTTCTATATGTCCCTGATAATCCATACACCCTTACTGTTCTACATGCCAAGCATATCCCTGTTTGAAGCTCTACAAATTCCCAGCAACTTCTTACCCACTATGCCTAGGTATGTATTGCCCCAAAGTTTCAAACAAAGCGGTGTCCCCATGCCTAGTTGCTCCCTGAGTCCCAACTACTCACTTTGGCCATGCATTTTATCTCAGGTATTCCCATAAGTCCCCTGTTAAGTCATATATCCAGATTCCTTTTTTGCCCCAGCCACTCCCTGAACACCAGCTACTCCCATAAACCCAGCTTCTCCCCCAAACTCCATGTACTTCCCTACTTCAGATACTACTTTGATCTCAGATATTTCCACATCCCAGATGCACCTCAAGTCCCAGTTCCTCCCATGATTCCAGTTATCCCCAAGCCCCAGGTTGCTCCTTTACCTTAGTCACTTTTTCAGAAACTTCCCCAAGCCCCAGCTACTTCCTTGTTCCAGCTACTTTCTCTAACTCAAGTACTCTACTAGTTCTAGTGACTCCACATCCACAAGTTATCAACCCACCTTATTTGGTAGCAACCACAGTTTCTGTCCTTGGGCACCACAGCCTAACAATGCCCCCTGTGCCTCCTTGGAGGCAGTGGAGGAACAGAGAAGGTAGCTCCCTTTTTCAGCAGGAAACACTGAGGCCCTGCTTCAGGTCCTGGCTGGACCTTCTGTCTAGACACCTGGTTTGAGTTCCTCCGTCCCTTCCCAGCCCCCCAGGGACCCACTGGCAATACCTGCCCCATCTGTGCTCATAACATTGGCACCATGAGCCAGCATCACCTCCAGACAGTTGCCTGCGCCCCTCATAGCTGCCAGGTGGAACCTGGAGGTCAGAGGTCAGAGGTCAGTCACAGGGTAGCCTCCCCTCAGCCATGCCACCCCCAAGGTGTTGGCACTCACGCAGACTTGCCCTCAGGGTCCAGCTTCGTGGGCACTAGCCCCTTACGGGAGATGAGGGTGGCCACCCGTGCTGCATCGTTGTTCTCCACAGCTTGCAGCAGCCGCTCATCACTTTTGCCCCAGTCTTGACTCTGTGGGGTACACCCAGTAGTGCATGGGGCAGGGTCGGCTGCTGCCCCTCCCCCTGGCAGGGCTCTGGGCTCTTACCTCCCGCCCCTGGGCACTTGCCTGGCGCCTGCCTCTGACTGCTGGCTTCGGGATGGGGCAGGGACCGCAGGGCGGGCAGGAGCTGAGGTCAGCAGGGCTAAGCCGCAGCTGGGAGGGCAGGTGGTCCTGGATGGGGGGGGCCTCAGACAGAGCCCCGCAAGCCTGTACCCCCCAGAATCTGCCCCCTGGCTGATCACCCCAATTCCTCCCAAAAAACCAGCATCAGCACCATGCCATTAAACCATCCCTTGAGCAGGTTCCAGCATCTATTTCCAGCAAGTTGACCCTATACCAAGACCCAAACTCTTTCCTTAGTGAAAAGCCACATTTGCAACATCACCCACATCCAACTGATCCTTTTCCAAAATACCCTCCACATTCTCCCTAACTGAACCCCTAAAAGGTCCCTCTGAATGTAACTCAGAACCACTTTCTGCCATCTGTCGCCCCAAATTGCAAGTCTGTTCCCCATAAACTGAAGCCCAAAATGCTTTCCAAAATGTCTCCACCAAATCCCTGAAATGTTCTCCAGAACCATCTTCCACTGACCCCAAAAATCCCTCAAATGCTTTCCAAAACTGTTCTCCAAGTGGCGCTGTCTCTTCTCAGAAATGGCCCCCCCAAAATAGTCTCCGACTTGTGCCCCATGTCTCTGAAATGTTTTTCTAAAACTCTCCCCCAAAATGCCCTCTAAATTCTCCTAAATGTCCCCAATCTGTCTCAAAACTGTTTCCCCAAAGGTCTCATCCATCACTCTCCAAGCTGTCCTCAACCTCAACCTCCCTCTCCCGCCCCTCTATCTGGAGTTTGGGGAACGGGCGAGCCCTGCGGGGCTGAGGGTGGGGAGGTAAGAGGAGGGACCCGCGCCCCGCCGGCCCCCAGCCCCTTCTCGGGCCCTACCGCGAAAGAGGTGGCCGCGCATAGACACAGTTGCTTCATGGCGGCGGGGCTGCCGGGCTCTGAGCGGCAACTGGCCGGAGGGGCACGGCGCGGGGGCCCGCAGGGAGGGGAATGAGAGCCCCCGAGCTCCGCCCCTAGACCAGCCGGGCACCACCCCCTCCCCCGCCTTCTCCCCCCACCCCGGCAAAATAAAGGGAGCCCCGGGGCTGGGCTCTGGGGGAGGGGCCGCCGCCCTAGTCCCACTTGACCTTGTCGCCAACCCTGCACGCGGCCAGCCTTTTCTCCTAGAGACCCTCTGCAGCTGCGGTCTCTGCCTTCTGAAAGCAGGGTGGGGCCAAGCAGAGGTCTCCCAGCTCCGACCCTGGCATTCTAAGCCGCTTATTGCCGCTGGGCCATGCTGCTGTTCACCCATTCACTCGTTCTTTCGTTCGTCCTTCATTCGTTCTCTCATTTATTCTTTCCTACATTTGTTCATTTACTCATTATTTGTTTGCCCATTCATTCACTCATTTATTAGCTTACTCCTTCCTTCACTCATTCATTTGCTTACCCTTTCATTCATTCACTCGTTCATTCATTGCTCATCCTTTCATTCATTCACTCATTCATTTGTTCATCCATTCCTTCATTCACTCGTTCATTCTTTTGCTCATGGGGTAGAAGGGAGCTCTGGGATCAGACAAACCTGAATCTGAATCCAGGGCCCCACCCCCACCTTTCCTACCTATGTGCCTGGGCCCAGATCCTTACCTCCTCTGTGGTGCACTTTTCTCCTCTGCAAAATGGGCTTCATAATAAATAGTTCCTACCACAGAGGGTTACCTGGAAGCTGCAGAGAGATAACTATATTCGAAGCACTTGGCTGACCAATGCCTGGAAAACTTGTGACTCTCAGTTCATCAAAGAAAAATCTACCTGGGCCCAGGGCCCAGCTCTGACACTCCCCTGTGTGTTCACTTACTGCCCCTTGCAGTTGTCTGTGTCCCTGCAGGGTCCTCAGTGGTTGGAACAGCATCTGGCACACAGCAGATGCTTAACAAATGTGTTATCAGATGAACATTTGGGGCTGATTCCTTCATGCATTAAACATTGATTGAGTGCCTACTGGATCCCAGGCACTGTTCTCAGGTCTGAAGGCACAGCAGGGAGCACAGCCAAGATCCCCAGTGGCCTGTGGCATTTGCCACAGCCAAGATCCCCAGTGGCCTGTGGTATTTTAGAAGGGGCCTTGGGCCCTGGGGATATGGACACCAAGTGATGGGTGGATGGGGGTGGGAAGAATCCAAGAAGGGGGCAAGCCAGGTAGCAATAGGGGTGAGGGTGGGCAGGACTCAGGGAGTGAGATGTAGACTTCGGATGATGGGTCTTCAGAGGACCTGTTCACCTCCAACTCAGGGTCTTGGAGAGGGAGCCTCTTGAAGTCAGAGATGCTCAGTTGAGTTCAAACCCCATTCGGTGTTGAGGGGCCTGGTGGGTGTCCATGAGAGATGCTAGTTGGTGGCTGAACCATGGGGTGATGGCTCAGAAAAGAGATAAGGACTGCTATGGAGGTGACTCAAGGGTGCAGGACTGAGCAGCAGAGCCCCAATATTTAAAGGTCGGACAGAGGAAGCAGTGCCGGCAAAGAGGAAGGAGGAGGGATGTCCCAAAAGGGAGGAGAAACCAGGAGTGTGTAGCATCAGGGTAGCCAGAGCAGTTAGTTCCAAGAGATGGGACCATCCACTCTGTTGACATGCTGCATATTCACAAAAAGCAGATGTGGGGGGAAGTTGGGATTATAGGAGAGAGAAAGTATGTGAGAAGAAACCTGAATTTAACAACAACACAGCACACAGGTGGCAGGGGAGTTAAAACCAGTTTGGTTATTTCATATCTGAAGTAATGATCGTGGGCCAGTCACTTCCCCTCTCTGGGCCTCTATTTCTCAACTGCTTAAATGAAATAGATAATGGAATAGCACCATAGAGCCGGGTTTTCCCCTGAGGCATTGTTGACATTTGAGGTCAGGCCATTCTCTGGAGCTGGGGGCCATCATGGGCACTACAGGGTGCTTAACAGTGTCCCTGGCCTCCATTCACTCCATGCCAGGATCACCCCTGAGTTATGACCACCAAAAATGTCCTAGATGTTGCCAAGTGTCCTCTCCACGGACACTACTGGCGTAGAGCTGATCTGATTATTCTTAGACACTTTTGGCCAGAAAGACGGAAAGGCAGGGCCAGAGGCAGGTAAATAGAGACCTTGATGTAGAGATCCTCTCTACTATCGCTTTGGGGCTAGGTATGAGTCCTCCAGGCTTGTCCAGAGAAGAAACTTAAAGGTATCTCTCAGTTTAGGACTTAAATTTCTTTTTTTTTGTTTTTTGTTTTTTGTTTTTTTTTTTGAGACAGAGCCTCAAGCTGTCCCCCTGGGTAGAGTGCCATGGCATTACAGCTCACAGCAACCTCCAACTCCTGGGCTCAAG